CCCAATACATCACACATTCTCCGTCTCTGCTAATCATGTTTGCCGATCTGAACTCAATCAGAAGCCCGTCCTCATTTTCCACAGCCCCAAGACTCAAGGAAATCATCTCCATCCCAGTTTCGTCAAATACCCGAGACTTCAATTACCTATTTTAATCGCACCAGTATTGCAATTGAATTCCTTCCAAAATCAATTAATTTTTATTGTCCATTTAACCAAACATAAACAGACCTGTCAAGTGATCCTCAAAAAATTGAAAAACCCAAATAATTCAACAAAAAAAAATCCCTAATAATAATTTCTATTGAGTGTAATTTCATTTCAATTGAGTCAATACTGAGGCGAAAGAAAAAAAAAGATATGACACGTGTTGCCCCTTGAGCACTCATCACAGTCAATTAGTCCCTGATATCACTGATGAAAATGGGAATAAATACCTTTCACCTGCCGGATTATGACGTAAATGGGCGTAATTAAAGTTTGTTGAGTACAAGGCCAAATCCTAAATGACTTCGAGGATCAAGTGAAATAGTTGGTAAAGGGAGAGATGCATAATGGCAATGTCAGGGTAGTGGCAGAGATGGTAATCGAGGAAGATGGTTAAGAAGTGGTTGTACAGCTCGGTAAAGCACAGAAAACATGTCAGAGGGCCCATGCCGCGGTGTGTTATTGATCGAGTGCTCCTCGTGCGCGCTATACACCTATTTTCCACCATCCTCCCCTATCCCCTGTACTCAGTTTCGAATACCAACTCCCTCTTGGAATTCTACCACCGACGCGCCACACACCACTCAGAAATGGCCCTTAAGGCTCCACTCTCTCACCCCTATCCCTCTATTCATCCCTTCTCCATCTGCTCACATATTTGGCTCTACCCCTTCCCTATCCTCCCTCCCTCCCCCTCTCTACCCGGGAATTGTTCCAATCCAATTTACGAATTGGGAATGACCGGTGTCAACGGAATTCCTTTCGTTTTCCAGGTTACTACCCTAGTTCATCCCCTAGTCTCGTTCCGCTAGCTCGTCATCGAATTTTTCCAGAATTGCACACGTTATGATATGATTCATCTTGATTAACTCCGCAAGTCATTACGCTATCAATTTTCTCATGGGTGAATGGAAGAGCGAATTGGGGGTTTATGGGGGTTGAAATTTTCCGGGAATTTTCCAGGAATTTTCTAGCTGAAATCGGAAAATTGGGGATTCAGAATTCAGAGGGAAAGTCCTCGGTTTTTTTTTTTCATGACATTTGGAATTTGCAATTCATTCTTGTGAAATTTTGGGGAATCTACCTTGAAATTCTCTGGTAGAGAATTTTTCCGGGAATTTCGATATTTTCTCCGAATCGAGTGGAGACAGCGAAATTTTGGAAAAAACTTTTTTTGCAGCTCTCAACGAGCTCCACAAAAAACGTCTCTTTAAAAATTTTCCTATTTCCCTCAGTTCCGGTGATATTACCGAGAACTCACTGAATCGCTGAACCAACTGATCTCTCACCGCCTCCACTCCCTGAAGAAGATAAATAAATTTTCGTAATCCTTGCTATTTCGAAGAAACAACCTTAATTGCAGAATGATTGATGTATGGTGTGTTACTAGATTAGAGTGAAGGGTAGTGAATTAGGGATGAATAGTGATGGGTTGCAGGAGGTAGTCTTTCAATTTTGTAATCAATCTCTGGAAGGACTGGGTATTCTCCATTGGGGGATTCTTCATCGGGGAACTCATTGGTGATGTCATTGTTTGGGGTAGAAATGAGAGTCTGCCATTGGTCGTCCTCATTTTGGAGTTTGGAGTGATCCATTCTTAGGGACAATGCTCCAATCTTATGGCCTCATTTTGAGCTGTCGTTTGGAGAAGTCAGCATTGTACTCCATCCTCTGTTTAATGTGAAAATTGCTTGTTGCTGAGTGCAATCTCTTTTCTTCGTTAGCATCCATCGTACCAGTCATTAGAATATTCTCATCAATCCAATCATTCCTATCGATCCTATCTATAAAAGGTGACGGACCAAAATTCAATTATTGAGAGTAAAATTTCGGATAGCTTTATTAATAAAAATATTAAAATAATTTCTCATTGGGAAATTGACTGTAATCAACAGTGAAGATAAAAAAACAATCGGGTTAAACAATTAAATGTTAAATGTAATTGGTGGGGACAATTTCATGTGCACAAGTGTCACTGGATATCTTGCATAATGCGTACCATCTAATTGCCTCGTCATCCATCCCTTCGGCGAAACAGGCAGACATCAAGATGTATAATTGAGATTAAGCCAAGAAGGGATCGTTCCACTGTCCAACCGACACAGCTGTCTGTCTGAATTATCATTAGGTATAACCTGGAGGGCATCGCACTGGACATTAAATCATCGATTCCATATTGATTTTCACTAAGCTGATGGATTAAATTCAGGGATTGGAAATTATTTCGGGAAATCAATTGATTCTTCATCGAGGAAGTAATTTCCTGTAATCCCTTCCAATGGAATATTTATTGTTGAATGGACTCGGCTAAAAAAAATTGTAATCGGAATTTTTTTTTTTTTTTTTTCAAATTTTCATTAATTTTTGGAAACTTTTTCAGAAAATTTTTCTTTTGAAACAAAAATCGGGGGATAAAACAATTGTATTTTTGGGGAATGTTTTGAGAAATTTTTTGTGGAATCTTCTAGAAATTTTTGAGAAAATATTTTTTTTTTTAATTACCCGGGTGAAAAAAATTGTAATCAGAATTTTTTTTCAAATTTTTAAAAAATTTCTGGAAAACTTTTCAGAAAATGTTTCTTTTGAAAATAAAATCGGGAAACAAAACAATTGTATTTTCGGGAAAGGTTTTGAAGAATTTTTCAAAAATTTTTTTTCCAGAAATTTTTGAAAAATTCGGAAAAAATATTCCGATTACAATTTTTTTTACCCGCGTCTATTCACCGCAGATCTCCCATTTTTTGAATTCCATCCGACGAATCGATTAATCAAATCTATAACAAAATGTTTAGTATTTCGAGGTGATTTTTATTGAATTGAATAAATTCGTTTGAAATCTGGAAATTCTTCCATACGGGAGATGGGTACAAATGAAGGAAAAATGGTTAAAAGTTATAAGTTTTTATGATTGGGATGTATGTGAAAGGCTGAAGAACTTAAAAGTGAGAAATTTCCTCTGCAAGTGTACACAATATCCACGTTCTATTTGTCATGAAAACTCCTGGGACCTTGCTTTTCTCATCTAGTTGGCTTTTTTCAAACTTCAAACTGTCCATTTCGGTTGGCATCACATCTACTTTATCCTCTCTCCTCCGTACACTTTATCCCACTTTTTTTTCCCTTTTGTCATCATTCTTCCTCGTCAATTCACCTCTTCTTTTTCCCCGTTGTCCATCAATCTTACGGCATTTCGCACTAGACTATTTTCAAAAAAATCAAGAATGACTGAATGCGTTTTATCCATCGATCAATGAAACGGCTTTATTTTGTCCATTGGAGTCAATCGAAAGTTGGTGATTGGTGATTAGGATTTCAAGTCGACTTGGAGATCGGGGATCTATCGATTGGTTGTATTGAACTATCTGCTGGGACTGTCATGCTGTACACCAGACAGTGTTATACCTAAAACTTTAGGACCATTTCGAATTCAACTTCGTACAAACTACCAATACGCCACTAACTTTATCCCAGTCGAGGAGAAAATACATTGGTTCGACGTCAGAAAGTCCCATTTACTTGGAAAACTATTGCCTCAAAATTCTAGCAATCAAGATATTGTCAAATCAACTTGTCATCCAACATTTCCAACAAGATTATTTTTTCAAACATAAAAAAATTCTTCAGAAAATATTAAAATTCTCCCAGAAACCCCAAAAAATTAATTATTGGAATAATAAATATATGAAGGAACCAGCCAGATTATTCCCCAATTTATTTAAACTTAAAATAATTTTTATTAAAATTATTTCATGGGAAAAACCCCAAGAGAAAAATCTTAATTGGCAATTTTTTAAATGGTTTTATAGATATATTATAATTGTTCTTAAACAATCTCTCTTTGCATTATTTATCTCTATTAAACCGCTAATTGTTTAACGCCAGATTTTTTTCCCTGAGATTTCCACGATTTTCACGAAAAATGCACTGACGCTATTAAAAATTCCAGAAAATTCAGGAATTGCGAAAAAATAATTTTTACTACATCGCGGGGTTGAAAATTCCTCGGTGTGGAAAATATCGGAAAATGTGAGAGAAATGGGCCCTTGATATTAATCAAAGACTGATCTCCACGTGGAATTGGTGCCACCACTTCACTGAATATTGAGGAATATAAAAATGGTGAATTGGATTGCCCCCGAAGAAACGATATCTCCATCCTCAAAGGCAAAGAGGATTCTACACTGGATAGTGTCAAGAGACTTAAAACCACAAGGTCTCCTGAAACCTCAGCAACTGAGATTGCCATGCTCCTCCCATGTCCCCCGATACTCGATCACATCTAATTTCAATCTGCCTTGTGTATACACTAGATCAAACAACACTACGTTGTAATTCAATAGATAGCCCAGATCAAATATGTAATTTCCTCAAATTCCATATTAATTCCCTTGATTTTTACCGGACATCCAATTTGAATCTCCCGATGAATATTTCCCACTCTGAGAAACAAATCTTGAAGAAAAAAAAATGCAATCCCTTCATGAATTTCTTCTGCTCCAGGATAAGTTTTAATCGTCATAATGAATCGTCTGATATATTAATCGAATATTCACTCTTATTCGGGTGAAGACCGAAGAATAAAGAATTTGATCTTTCGACGATAAAATCGCGGAAAAAAATCCAGATTGTGCTAGAACATGAAGATTACACTGAAAAGTTTGTCCTGGGAAAATTTGACCGAGGAAAATGATCGATTGAAAGTTTACTCATCCTCGGAAGTGGCATTCTACCAAAAACAAATATCAAAGTTTTTAGGGGCAAAAATTCCTGACAGTTTATGTTTGTATTTCCAGGTGCGGAGGATGTGTTCAGATTCACTGGAAACGAAACCCACACGGACTACTTCCGGTTGATGCTGAGGGATGGAAACTATCTTCTCATTGGTGGAAGGTAAGAAGTCTTTGAACAGAAATCTTGGTAAAGGCTTAAAATAGACCAGAATGATGGATCACGTGTTCCCGAAGAATGTTTACATGTGTGAGGGTGGATTAAACCAGAAAGGTTGAGCCTGGGGATTCCTCGGTTTCCCTCCAGAATAAATCCCCCAGAACAACAGTTTACATTCATAAATTTGCTAGATCCACAATCACCACGGAGATAAATCCATTGTCAAATTTACCCTGACGTTAGCGAAAAAAAAAACGATCAATCCAGTAAAATGTAATGTACTTTACAATAAATTATCTTTCATTATAAAATAAAATAGGAAAAATGCAAAGTACTTTAACCCACATCTCTTAATGAAGATTAAGTGTCGACCGTTGTGAAAGTTTAAAGTCTTTATGAGACTGACATGATAAGGCATGTCAAGTGGTAAAAAAAATCCAATAGATTTTATCCCGTGCATCAACGAAAAACGGCGATTTTTATTTTTGTGAAATCGTGAAATCACCCAAGTGCTTCAGTTTTCATCCAATTGACACTTTTATGTCTGCAACATGTTGATCAATTTTATGGAAACAAAAATTCACATTTGTTTAATTTTCCTCCTGATTTTATTTATCGAAAAATCCAAATCGTATGAAAATGCGACGAGTCGATTGTAAAATTGGAAAAATTCAGAATCTGTCGGGGATAAATATATTTAAAATGACAAATATTTATTATAATATTTAAACGATTGATGAGCATGAAGAGTAAAGAGCGACAATATTATTTCAGAAATTTGGTGCACAATCTGAGTTTAACGGATTTAACGGAGCAGCAGAGATTAACGTGGTACTCATTGGATAAAGACGTAAAGATGTGCGCCTTGAAAGGAAAAGAGGATGAAAGTTGCCAGAACTACATGAGAATAATGGCAAAAACCGGTACATCAAATTTACTAATCTGCGCAACAAATGCATTTAAGCCAATGTGCAGAGATTACGTGGTGCAGAGTGGAAATTACACGATGGCCAGTGAAAAGTCAGGACAGGCCCTGTGCCCCTATGACCCACAGCAGAACAGCACATTTGTTCATGTTGATGGTGAACTTTATACGGGCACTGTTGCTGATTTCTCGGGAATGGATCCGATAATATACAGAGAGCCACTGCAAACTGAACAATATGACTCCATGAGTCTCAATGGTATGATCAATTATCAATTGTACATTCGTCGAATGATAATTACAGTTATTGAATGGGGAATAATTCCCTCATGATGACTCATGATGACGAGTGCGAGGGCCGTCCAAAGGGTAAAGGCTTCTGGTTGCTTTTCGATGTTGCCATCTGTTTTATTTGATGATTCCATTCAGCCATGAATTATACATCATGACACTTTCCATCATTATTGACTCCCTTGTATTTCCATTTTATCCCTCCCCAATTTCAAAAATTCATTCCATCGTAATCCAACAATTAACAATTTGTGAATATAAATTATTCTGTTGTTACATTTAACATTCAGTGAAAATATTATGGGGATGAGATCACATGGAATAACTCAACCGTTATTTTCAATTAAATTATCTACTACAATTTGTGTACCAAGCTGTTATTAAAGACCCACATGCGGAAGCCACAAACCCACATGTGAAGAACATATTTGTGTTTATTCGTTTCAATTTGTCGAATGAATAAAATTACAGATGTATTTCAGGATTTTTTTTTTCACGGTAATATTTACTTTTGTTGATGGTTAATATTGAAAATGTCGAGGGATAATGCTGAATCCCCAAAGACCCTTCTCATTTGGATGGCAACATGTATATTGAGTAGCCAATATCCAGAGCATTCATGTCACATCGTCAGTAGTCGCTCTATCGATCCCAGACCAGTCGAGGACGGGATCAATTTTTAATTATTAACCGTCCAACATTGGGATTATGAAAATTCTCCCCACCAGTTAATAAATTGATAAAGTTGAAAATTTTGCGTTATTGCGTCTCTTTTGTTACCATCATTGTCCTGGGGACAATATTTTGCCTCGGGTTTAATGGTTTTTATGGTTCAACTCTCTGTGTCACTCTTTTGTGCGTCCAAGTGATATTTTTCAAGTGGAAATTCATCTCTGTCTCATTATTAAATTCTCTTTTTTTTTCAGCACCGAATTTCGTCAGTTCAATGACCCAGGGAGATTTCGTTTATTTTTTCTTCCGTGAAACAGCGGTTGAATACATCAATTGTGGAAAGGTGAGAATCAACCCGGAATATCCTAATAATAGATTAATCATTAATCAGTGAAGACAGTGCGCGGTAATTAATTCAAAAAAGCTTTAATTGCATTTCATAATTAATGATGAAATATTTCTATCAATGTTTCATATCAAATTAATTGGAATTTCATTCGAGATTCAATTGACAAATTATCGAATATTTTATTTATTACTTGAATCTGTTGAATTAATTTTTCTAGACTAGAATAGTAGTGAAAATATGAAAATATGAAAATATGGTCTGGCAGAGAAAAAAATATGTGATGGAGAATTGATTGATGTATGTTGCAGGCTGTTTTCTCTCGTGTTGCGAGAGTGTGTAAATACGATCGCGGTGGTCCACATCGTTTTCGGAATAGATGGACCTCCTTCCTGAAGTCTCGGTTAAATTGCTCTGTCACCGGTGATTTCCCGTTCTATTTCAATGAAATACGTAAGTACAGGATAATATTTATCTGTACATCATTCGAATGAGTGCTCAGACATTTTGACACACCATTCGAAAAGCCTGAACTCATCGATGTATTGACACATCTATTTGCAGATGTTGTAACATTTAAATTATTACAGAGTCGACGACAGACTTGATATCTGGTCAATATGGAACAATGTCTGCTCAACTTATATATGGCACATTCACAACACCAGTCAACAGTATCAGTGGCTCAGCTGTTTGTGCATTCTCGTTGCAAGATATTTCCGACACATTTGAGGGTAATTTCAAAGAGCAGAGTGCGATTAATTCAAACTGGCTACCAGTACAGAGTGCCAAAGTACCAAATCCACGTCCTGGTCAGTGTGTCAATGACTCCAGGACATTGCCAGATTTAACGCTTAATTTCATTAAAACGCATTCACTGATGGACGAGTCTGTGCCAAGTTTTTTTGGCCAGCCCATTGTTATTCGCACAAGTTTTCAGTGAGTAAACACTTTTTATATTTTCAATATTCCCAATTTCATCGAATTATCTCTTTCACTTTCAGTAATGAACATTTAAAAACATTCAACGTGTATTATTGTCTTACTTCAGTTACAGATTTACTCAAATAGCAGTAGATCCCCAGGTGAAAACACCGGGTGGTAAAACGTACGATGTCCTGTTCATCGGTACAGACAATGGAAAAGTGATAAAAGCAGTGAATGCCGATTCTGCTGATTCTCACGAGCGAGTGAGTCCAGTTGTGATCGAGGAGATACAGGCATTTCCAGCATCTGTACCAGTGCGTGGAATTAAAGTTGTGAGGGCATCTCAAGCGGGTGATGGCCTCGAAGATGGCAGACTTGTGGTAATTGCTGACAGCCAGGTGCAAGCACTGAGACTTCACCGGTGCTACAGTGACAGAATATTGTCATGTGGTGAGTGTGTCGCTCTTCAGGATCCTTACTGCGCTTGGGATAAGGAGGAGGGCAAGTGCAGAGCCCTTGTTGGTCCTGCATCCACAGATGCCACTAGATTTTTACAGAGTGTTGCAACTGGTATTCATGCATCCTGTCCACCCAGCAAGACACTTAATAAAGATGCTGGATCTGTTGGGGCTATCTCTGCTAATCAGAATAAGTTTCCGCAGGACTCTATGATATCTAATAAGGAGAGCCAGGGGGGAGAGATTATTAATATTATGCAGGATGAGGAGCAGAATAATTCAGGTGCAGTATTTTCGTGGTTCAACGTATTTTCATATTTTTATTATTCATACTGAACATTACAGAGGCTCTTTTTTATTTTTTTTCTCTTGATTCGTAGTAATGACACAGTAGTAATGAATCAAAGGGGTGACAAAGAGCGCTGCGCGAATTTTTTTTTTTGGTGTGATTGAAAAAAAGGATTGTTTCGATTTATTATTGATTTTTCACTAGGTCCTGAGGTTTCTGCAGCGGATTCTCCAGTGCCGCACTACACCGTTGAGACATTAGTGATGGCCGTTGTTGCTGGTGCACTAGCTGCACTACTAGTTGGTTTCATTGCTGGATATTTGTGTGGTAGAAAATGTCGAAAAGATGAGGACGACAATCTGCCTTATCCAGATACGGAGTACGAGTATTTCGAGCAGCGGCAGAATGTTAATAGGTACGAGTAGTGTGTGGATATATTGTCATTAAAAATTTTTACAATCTTTCCTGTAAGTCATATAAACTTGAGACGATTGGTTTCTAGCACCTGGTAATATTAAGAAAATGAAAAAGTTAACTGGATTTGTGTTGTTTCACCAGTAGGTTAGCACCAGAGCCAAAATTACTTCCCCAGGAGGAAGTGACGTACGCTGAACCAGTCCTAGTCCCCCAGCCTCCAAAGCTACACTCACCAAAAGGAACAATGAGAAAGCCACCACCAACACCAGCTGAAACTCTCTTTCAATTTCCCGATGGTTATGGTTATCGTGGACCCCGAGATAACTTTGGTACACTGAGATCCCATCAGGGTGATGCATACAGGCGTAATGATGGTTTTGCAACAACGCGAAGTGTTAAAAAAGTTTATCTCTGAGAAACGAGTGAGGAGGGAGGGGGCCGTCACCGTAGCTTAGGACGGCCAACGAGAAATCGTCACAATCCGACGTCAAACAGAAGTCGTGGTGTGACGCCAGGAGGACAATCGAGCCGAGAGTTGACTGGACAGAGAACACTCGAGTCACCCTCGCCTCCCTCCAGTGTCTCGTCGAGTTCACCATCGCCTCCCTCCTCAACACCATCACCACCACCCACACTCTTACCAATACCAATTAACGATGGTTCACCACCACCACCAACACCACCATGTAGCTTCATCTATCGTTCATAGTCCTCGTCGAGGGCACAGAGTGACGTTGTGAGATCCGTTAGTGGGAATACAAGGCACATTTGAGCCCCCACCCAGGTCATCTCCATTTTTTAACATTTTTTTATTGCATTTATCCATCAGTTTGTTGCATTTTTATTACATTACGATACGAATACTCGTGAGGATAAGCTTTCATCGATATTTTCGGTATATTTTGCTTCCAGATTTCGTTGTGCCATTGGAAATATTTCAGTGAGCTAGGAGAGACGGTGAAGTTAGTCAGAGTGAGTGACGAGTTTTTCTCTTCTGTTGAATATCTGGTGATCCCTGAAAGTATTGGCTCCTGGGGAAGTATTTTTATAGATTTTTTTTCGAGGGAATTTTATCAGTTATAAAAACGCTCTTGTTTTTTTTTACCACCATATTGTAAATTCGAGTTGTTTCCGATTGTATTAATTCTAGCAAGAAATATCAAAAGACTTTTTTATGAAAAGTTTTAATTACCCACAAGAGGCCCTTCAATGCTTCCCCACAAATCGATACGCTTCGAGGTGAATCGATAATCAATGAAAATGTTAAACTCTATTAATCTCATTTTACAACTTGACTGCTGATTTAATGGTGAAAAAAAAAACTTGGACACTGAATATTTTTAGCATTAGGTTTTCGCTAGATGAAACGCATGTTTCAGCAAGTGCTTATTGTAAATTTCACGCAATATAATTTACAATTTTTTATATAAACGGTTATCGTCCGATATTTGAGGCTGAAGATCACTTGAGATTGCTCCAAGATCCTCAATCACAGGGAGACTGTTTTTTCTATCCACTATCAATATGCGAGCTCTGTTTTTTCAATAAAAATTTAAAACCCCTCCAGAATAGCTTGCCGACTGAATTGGGGTTGTAAAATAAATTTAACGAGGATAAACATATTTGTTTAACCCATATTTTGAGAACTGAAATCTCACCCGAGAGAATTCGATGAGACACTGGGGATTGAGCTGAGCCAGGAGAAATTTTCGAGATACTCCCGGTGAATATTTGATTTTCAGAGGTTTATACGATGTTTCGGTTTTGATTGATTAATGAAAAAACTCACTGGTTCGCTCTCCAGGTCCAATTGATGTCTCCTGGGGATAAATTCCAGGAACTCCATGATCTCCACGTTTTTATTCGATTACGAAAAAAACTTTTCGTACTGCGAGTCTTTCGGAGATCGGCCAAAGCATTTTGTTGGATAGGAGGACAAGTCAATTAACCGGTGAATATTAATCCATGAATTTTACCACATTTACATCACTAAAATCCTAAGGATTTCTAGATTTCTAGGACTAGTCGTAGACCCTTGTTTCATTCACGCGAATTTATTGAAACACTGGTCACTAGGTGAAATATTATTTCAATCGATAAGTCTCGATTTACATACCAAATACGTAGAAACGAATCGATCTGATTTTTTTTTTACAATTTTTTAATATTACGATTAATGAATTTTTTATTACCCTTATTTCCATAAAATCGTGGAGATCGCTGCATTAACGAATACTCGATTATTTAAAGTACCATTAACATGACGTTACTATATGTTAGAAATTAAATTGAGGAAACGGAGACACGTCGTTACGGTAGATGACATCACATTGTTGATAAGAAATGATGAGAAATAAAGCAACGGTTGAATTTTAGTTTATACTCACACATATACGTAATAGATGACAAGAAGAAAGATAATTTTTAAAAAAACTGATGAATGGAGTGAGAAGTTTGGGGGAAAGATAACGAACTTTGTGTGAACGAGAATAATGCACAGGGCTTGTATGTACATATGTATCGTATTTAAACACATTATACACCAGTTAATAATTAGTAATGATTGAAAATAATGAATTGATAATGAATAATAGATCAATCCATCTCTAAACTGGGAGGCCCCAAATGACATTTTGTGTAGAAAAAAAAAAAGAAAGAAAAATCTATTCTTAAAGTGCTTCTTATTTCAGTGTGTTTAGAAGTAACGCGTATGTGATATATTCTATATGACGAAAAAATGTTTTCTAGACAGTGAATAAGGGACGAGAATAACAAAAAAAAAATGATAATGAACAAAATCAATGGGGATTTATTCTGGAGATGATAATAAAACACAACGCGATGACAAGATCTTTTGTTCACAAATCTGTATTGTATCTTCGGCTTGATGAAATGGAAATGAAAGAAGTAGAAAGAAATAAATAAAAAATTTCAATTCTGTACTGTCGCCCATCTGCACACCACCTCCTTTCAATATTTCCATGTGAAATCGAGAGGATTTAATCAATTAATAAGGCAGAGTGTATGATGAAAATTTATAAATAATGAAACATAGATTCATGAAAGAATCACCAAGAGTGCCACATTAAATGTGAATTTTAAAAACGTTGAAAGAAGTAAATAATTACAGCAAAACAATTTTTCTCGATGAAGTTATTGGTCGAGGTAGATTTGAAAGTTCTCTGATTATTGAAATATTGTCAATCATAGCGTTATTGTATGTCCCCCAAGTACTGATCGTTGACACTACTTGAAACTCATCGGATTATGTGACAAATGGTTAATTAAAGATAATTCATTTGATACGATTGACGAGAAAAATTTTGTGAGCAATAGAACTTGAAATAACGCCTTGACTGAGCCACTGACACAAACACATGTCACACATTGTTTGATGAATTGATCGAGTTTATATGATTTTTACGGTATTTATTGATAAGTATAGTTCAATGTACGATCAAATGTGTGAAAGATCAAAGGTAAATGAGACAAAGACTCACCAATAAAGATCTCCCTCAAATATTAAGACTGAAAGACCCTCTTACCAGGTGAGCCTTTGGTTTGAATTTCTTTTTTTTTATTTTCAATTTATTACTCCGATATTCATTTGCAACGATCACTATTATTCCATTATTTTTCCATTTATTTCTTACTTACCTCATAGTACAAATTTTTATATTGTTAGTTATTGTTAAGTTCGGTACACGTTTTGCACGGCGTCAGGCTGCGATAATGTCAGATTGATCATTGATAAGGGCTAATGAGAATTGACTTTATTATTCTGGAGAATTTTCACAGAATTAAACGAAACAACCGTTGATAATCGTCAACAGGGTGGAAGTCACTCAGATAAATTGATAAAATTAAAAAAACACCGGGAGATGAGGACAAAGTAAACGACAGTGTGAATTTTGTACAGGATGGATATTGAAATGATACTCGAGTCTCATGTAATTCGTATACGAAATGAATGCACAAGTATTTAAAAAGCCGATCGATGCATGGATATGTGAAAATAAATGCCAATACCGGAATTGTTAAGGAGTAGAATTTTTATTATCTTCATTCAGTGGGATAACACGACTAATTGAATTTTATGGATTTTTATATCACAATTATTGATGTCGCTGTTGAATTAGTGAAACGAGACTAATCAATTCTCACTCAATTAATAATCATTAATTATTATCACTGCGACTTGAGTTGTCTCGTTTCACTCATTGGGCATGAGAGAAATTTTGAAAAAAAAAAAAATATATCATTCAATGCTGCCACGAATTTCAATGAAAAAACCATCGTAACTCCTGATGCACCTTAACAATACATTAAAAAAAAAAATCATTATCATAAATCCGAAGAATCCTAATAACCCATTGTATCCAGTAAATCTCGACTCATGATTTTCATTCTCGTTTTTAATAAATTTTCTCAATGAATGACTCAGGCATAATACCAAAGATATTTAATTGTAAAAAGGGAATGAGCCAACGTTGGTCATTGTGATGGTTATCGTTAGAGTCGCACAAATGAGAAAATAATGCTGAACAAACCAGTGCTATTAATTTATCCAGCCACAGCTGAGATCTTTTGCACAAATTAATTATTTCTAATCAGAGATCGATACACAATTGATGAGAATACCGGCACAATTACGATTAATTAAAAAAATAATCCATTCTACTGATAAGATTTCTATCAATCATGTTGATGACACACTGTTTGGGGGGGGTAAGGAGGGAGGGGGTGATACGATCTGATGAAATCCTCAATCAATGAATGAAAAATCGTGCTAATTATTGGAATGAAACGGTGCACATAACGAGGTAATTAAATAATGTGTATATCATGAGCTCTCATGTTTTCAATGCAATGTTAAAATCGTGTTCATAGGGGAAAATAATCATTTGAAAATGTTCGGAGTGCTAACGAAATCCATCCAAAGACAGAATTTTTTCATCACAATGTTGTTAAAAATGTAAACCGTGCGCCGTTTTACTCTAATTATTTTTACCCGGGTTATTGTGACTATGTAATTACGCTGAAGGTGAGGGAATAAATGATAGCCCGTTATAAATATAAAAGATAAATTCAAAAATGATAATTTTAAATTAAAAGAAAAAAAAAATAGGTTCGAGGCTCTTTTTTCCTCTATGGGAGCTTTTTAGGAATGACAAGTATGTATGGAATGTCAAAGTAATTGACAATTGGGGGGAGGATTTTGGGAGGAAATAACTAATGGGGGGAGCTTAGGAATAAAAATAGGAGATTAGAAATTGAAAATGAAAAAAAAAAGTAAACAAAAAAACGGTATATAGAACGCTTGAAACGTATATTAATATTATAACTTTTTATAAATATATTTTTCCGTCGAAGTCTAGCCTAAGTAGAGGGACATACACAGTTACGAATGATTAATTTATCTAATCTGAGGTATTATATGAATGAGTAAAACCATGGAACGATGATTATAGTATTAATTCATCACTATAGGTATCAATTAGGTTTACAAATTAGGGGGCAAGTTGTACGAAGAGAAAAAAAAAACTGTGAGTCATTTTTTGAAGAGATAAAAAGTACGGAGAGGATTCAAAAGGAATTTAGTACCTAAAGTTAGAGATAATGATGTAGAGTTCGATTATGAGAACGTGAGAGTGGAATCAAGTGGGGAAAGTTTTCTTGCAAGAATTATTATAAATAAAATCATCAACTTTGATCATTTAATCGATAGATACTCTTGCCAATGACGATTTGATAACTGACATTGACGTACGTTCGATTGAATTGCAATAGAACTTTCTTCTGTGGAGTTGTAATAAATCATGATTATTTCAATACCGAAATCACAACTCATTTGCCTGATGATGAAATGGAGTAAATTTCTCTGACAACAGTCGAATCGCTTGTGTTTCAATATAAAAATTAGAAATTCAATATTATTGCTATTTGAATGATGATTGATGATGGATAAACGGTTGGGGATGATTGTAAAGAAAAATCATTAACGATACGTGACACAATTTTTTAACAAAAAAATTAATAATGAGGAGAATGATGAACAATTTATAAACAAAAAATTAATTATACTACATTTATCAACGATAAGGTGACGAGAATGTAACATGTATTTTGCTTCTTCCTAATACAGTGCCGTTCTATGCATATTTTTTACAGTAAAAAAAAAACGTACTTTAGACATTGGGACTGAGAAAAATATTGTCCGAGCGCGTGTTATAATGTTGGAGAATCAGCCACGTGTAGCTATAGTGTAATGAATTTCGAGTGGGTCTCTGGGGTGTTATATCATTTCGAAATGACGAATAAATAAAAAAATAAATAGAAACAGCTTGAAAAATTGATATGAGTCTCTGGTGCTCATTACGATGGGAAATAGTCAGTTTCTTTATTTTAATTCATTTCGAAACAAGAGTTTCTATTGATTTTTTTAAACGTTAATGTGCAATCATGTAAAATGCAATGAAAAAGTGCGATTTCGATGATAAAACCAGAGTGGCCACTTGAAGCCTTGACTTAAATGTAATGTCTCTAACTTTGTTACGACGACTTTTCGCATTAAAAAAAAAAACGCGTTTTTGAATTTGGAATAAAAATGAAAAATGAGAAAATTTGATTCTTTATCGATATCTAATTACTCTCGATAGAGAGAGAATAATAAATGAAGAAAAATGATGGGGAAAAATTTTAAGGATGAAAAATTAATAAATAATCCATTAATGGAGGTATCTTATTGCCGCTAAGTATATTATATAATGAACATGAAAAAAAAAATTATATTATACAATAATATCTTATAACATGAGGTAAAAAAAAAAAAACAAAAACCAAAATAAAAAATGCGCAAGATAAAGTAAAAAAAAAAAGTAGTTGGCTGTAGACTGAGGTAGAAGACTTGGCACGTCTATTATTAATTTTAAAAAAAGTTGAAGAAAATTTAAAAAGTACATTAAAAATATCATAACGCGAAAAAAAAGGTACAGTAGTGATTCACTATGGCTGATGTAGAGTGAATGCAAAATACAGGAAGCATGCTGGTGGAGAATAGTGGGGTCTGGATGCATTAAAATTGTACATCTAAAGATTTAAAAAAAAAATAATAATTACCCATTGGTTTTAATTCACCCAACAATCCATTTATTTATTTTTAACTCGTCATAAAAATAATGGGTAATCCGAGGTGATTCCTCAGGTGGAAGTATTTTTGCTTCGAGAGATGAAAATTACACGAAAATGATAAAAACTAAGTACATATTTACTTGAATTCCACGTGTACATACGTCTCAACTGAGACAACTCCACTGTTGACAATTTATTTATATGTTCATTTACATTCCTGAATAATTCTGGTAGACTGGAATATTCGACACATGACAAAACAACTCCAACACAACTCCAACAGTGCGTGCGTCAATTCACCAGAAGAATAACAGAACTAATTAATTAACGAATTAATGAATTACTAGAAATTGCCAAAAAAAAAAACAAAACAAAAGCGTGCACTCAAAAATTCTCAATGTAATTAAGAATAATTAGCACGAATGGATGGAAAGGGATGAAGAAATTCAAAGGGTGAGTAAAAGCTGATGGAATTAGTGCGTTAGCCAGTGGCAAGTGATTGATAACGAATGAATGACTGAAAGTCGATGATTCAATTTAAATATCCAACGGACTGCTGTTCATAGTGCCCTGTTATAGTGGGTTTCGGGCAGAGATTTGGCCGAGAATTGAATTATTTTATTCACTGAATTTATCCAACCGCTAACCAATATTTCGCTTATGAATTATTTATCGAATCTCATCGCTTACTTATCATTTAATCACCAGCTGAAAAATCTCTCAGCCCTCTGCCTGCGAAATCCTGATCTATTTTTCAGAATACGCTATTGTGATTATTATTACATGAATAATACATTAAAACGAGAAGGAGTAAATAAACTAGTGATTAAATAATTGAAAAGCAATTCCGCTGGAGTGAGATGATGCTGTACTCGAGGGAATGAGCATTAGGCATTGTTTACCTATTATTAAAACAATTTTTTTATTTAATAATGTTAATAGCCTGTACTGATGGTAATCCGCATTATCTTTAGTATATCTTAGAGAGTGAGGCTGCAACTGTATTAATGAATTAAGTACAACATATACCATTAATTCCCTACACTTTATATACGAATAATATTAACTAAACAATTAATGAACAAAGATAAACCAAACGTAATCGCTCCCATCACATTGCATTTATTTAATCCATTAGATTCATCAAAACTCGCATTATTCATTATCTCTTAGACGTAATGAACATGAAAAAAAAAAATCACTATGGGAAATCATCAATCGTAAATAAATTGCCTCTCGTCTCGATTTAATTCGGGACCGCGCTAACTCATCCAGCGTGTTTCCGTACCATTTATTTTTAAACAAAAATAATAAAAAAAAAAATGAAAAAATACCATTTTACATTTTGAACAATTGCGTTATTTTATAAAATCGATATAGATTATAGATTGTACCATGATATAAGTCAAAATAAATTTGATTAGGTAATAAAATAATTGAAAAAAAAAAAATACCAGCAGTTTATTCTTTTTGCTCAGCGAGAATTTTTTTATTGTTTGATTCACTGATTTAAGTTTGTTAATTTAAAAAACGGGTGTTTGAATTTTCCCGCATTTTTTCAGTGACTGTCAATTCCAGCGCATGCGCAAATACTCGAATCAGGTAAACATTTTAGCGCATATGATATCCAAACACGTGAGTTTTGAATTCCTACGAAAATTCGTACGTTTTAGCTGACGATCACTGCCAATTCACCTGGAGAACGACTTATTTAACCAAAAAAATCTCTTCAAGACTGTTATTTAATCGAAAACCTTAAGTGAGTACTGCCTGCCCCCAGATAAATCCCTGGTAATATTCGAGGTTATTGCAGTCCAATATTTTTTTATCATTTATAAAAACAATGTCATACGATATAATTATCTTTCTGTACGGAATAAAATGCCCTGGATATGTAATTCCAGTTTAGTGTCAGTCACCAGCATGAGCTGTTGAATAAAAAAAATTAAATATATTTTTTCCTGCAGGACTAAAATGACTGATACAGTTCGTCGTGCACTGGGAATAGACCAGGTGGACCTTCGAGGAAGAATGGTGATGATTGAGGAGCAGCACGGTAGCGATGCAAATTTCCTGGTGAACACACTCCTGTCACATGCCCTGGAGAAGGGCCAGGGCATTTGTCTGGTGCTCTTCCACAACACGTTCGGTCATTATCACAACGTTGGCATGAAATTGGGGTACAATTTGAATGTCCTCAGGGAGAGAGGTGAGGTGACAGTGCTGGAGCCCATGAAGACATTTCTCCAGAACATCGAGGAATTAGGTCATGATGCTGTGGACGCCTCGACTCCAGAGTTGTCTGAGGACTTCAGGAAAATATTGAAAGACAATGTCATACCAGATGCCACGAAGTTGGATGTACATTTGGTTCGTCATCTTTTTGTGGCACTCAAGACCAAGTACTTGGAGGCTGCCAAGGTTCGTGAGTCTGTCACAGTGATTATCGATGATCTCAGTCATCTGTTCGATTTTAATTTGAGTCTCACTGATGTCTGGACGTACGTCAGGTATCTCAGGTCACTCATGCAATTCCAACCAAAAATGTCTGTCTGCATTATGACACATACGTACAGAACCAACGCAGACTCTTGTCAGCCTGATATTATTGTCATTGGACTCAGGCGTATGGCACATCTCAATGTCATGGTTGAACCCCTCAGCACTGGACATGCCAATGACATCTCGGGAAAGCTCACTGTTATCTGGACGGTTGCCTCTATTAGAAAAAAATATCACTGGCCAGAGAGGATGACTTATCTTTATAAACTTATGGATCGACAAATCAAAGTGTTCACTCCTGGGGCCAAGGAGGCATTATCCTAATTGTTTATTTGTATTCATTATTTTTCAATTATTTGTCTTTGTTAATTATCATTAAATCAATTTTTTAAATGTGGTATTTATTATTGTGGGTTATTAAATTATTGATTGTTTTAGCTGCGATATTTTTTTCTCGGGATAATAAATAAAAACAGGAATGTTAATCCGCGAGGAAAATGTTGATGTAGAATTTGGAACAAAATTGTCTTGATAATTAATTATTCTGTCATTTTTATTTCATCATTCGTTTTATTCATTCCAAATTAATTCAGAAAAATTATAAATATAATGAATTTTATTTTATTTTCTGCGGTATGAATACTTGTTGTTTTTTATTTGTTTAACTGAAATTTATCCAACTGCAGAACGAGCGGAAGGGGGAAGCCACATCTTATATAATTTCAAATGGAAAAAATTATTGAATATATCGAAGATATAATACAAATGAAAATATATTTTCAAAATGAGCGGTTGTCTAATCGGCAGCGTGCTTGGCTAGCACGCCGACAGGTGGGGTTCGATCCCGCCAACATTCATTTTTTTTTTTAATAATTCCTACTTTTTTTTTTGTTAATGGCTAATCAATGAAAATATTGTTTAAAAACTGAATTTTTGAAAATGGAGAAGATATCCAGTGAAATTGAAAAATTTGACATTTTTGAAAGCGAAACTTTTTCAATATATATACTCCTAATGAATTTATAATATTGCATTAAGTGCGTTGTCCTAGCGGTAACGTGCTTGGCTATCACGCCGACGGCTGGGGTTCGCTCCCGCCAACATTCATTTTTTTTTTTTAAATAATTCCTATTTTTTCTTTTGTAAATGGCTAATAAATCGAAATATTGTTTAAAAACTAAATAGCTCCTCGATTGTCATGTTCCCCTGATACTTTTACAAAAATTTCGAATTTTGCACCTTCAGTGAAAATTTCAGCGAATAGCTCTTCGTTTGTCATGTGCTCCTGATACTTTGACAAAAATTTCGAATTTTTCACCTTCAGTGAAAATTTCAGTGAATAGCTCTTCGGTTGTCATGTGCTCCTG